ATACTCTAAAACATGCAAAACTCTAATCAAAATGAAATAACAGAAACAAAATACTAATTACAATGTTTTTCTTTCATTAGACGCATCTCCAAACTCGAGAAGACATCTCGCTATGTCATGCTCACTGTGGAGTCATGTAATTCCCTAAGGAATTTTATCTGTGTGTAGCCACAGGGTCCAAATCAAATTTTTCTCAAATCGAAATAACACAAGAAAGACGCTGACATCATCAAACAAGAACACAAAATAAATGGAAAAATCAAAATGAAAAAAATCACCGAACGTACAATACATAGAAACATCAGAGAAGAAATTTTACTAACAAAGAAGAAGGAATACACGAAAATGTACCAAACAAAATGCGAGCGGGAACGCAAGAATCTCGAAGCCGAAAGCGCAATAAAACCCTAAGCTCTCACGTTCGCTTTATCTATTCCTAAGACTAAAAACGTAAATTGAAAAATATATGTCTCCGTGAAAGTCTCTCCATTTACATGGCAAAAGAACCCCCCTTTTATAGGGTTGAAGAAAATAGAATAGAGAAAGAAAGAAAAAAAAATAAAACCTTCATCGTATCTTCTTCTTCATCGAATGGTTATCTTCACTTTGCTAATTAGGTCGCTTCTGCACCCTTTGATCACTTCAGTACTCTCGCCGATTGGACATTCGGTCAGCTTCTCCGGGAAGGTGCCTAGCTTGAACAATGGGAGCTTTCCTCTCGCCTTTCGCTTTGCTCTTTGCCCTAACTTGCGGGTTCCTCTTTCTCCCGAGTGAATGTGCATGCAAGATTGTGTTTTCTCAAAATGAGTTGCTACTCAAATGACCCGCAAAGGCTGCAGTCAGACATTCTCCAAAACGGCGTCGTCACACTAAGACGCAGGCCTAATCCAGCGCCCCAACTCTTCTGATACAATCAGCTCCAGGCAGCGGCCCAATCTCCACATCTTTATCAGAATCAACCAACTAAATTGTTGAAGCACAACAGATTTCCAGTGCAGGCAGACCAACCCAATTAATCAGCCAATGGCCCAATGTACTTCAGCCCAAAAACCTACAAAAATAAAATGAATTAAAGAATTAAAACAAAAAATTACTAAAAAAAATAACCTATTCTAAAAGTTATTTTTACTTTGTTTTCTAAAATATTTTTCTAAAAAATAAATCTAATTACTTAAAAACCTATTTTATTTGCATAAAAATAGAAAATTAACCAAATTTTTATTTAAAAGCTATTTTTACCATTTTACACTAAACTATTATATTTCTAAAAAATTAAAAGCTAAAGAACCTTAAGAAAAGAGTTTTATCCTAGAAAAATATGCAAATACTGAGAGTTATCAAAGAGATTCCCTAGATCTAGATTTTCCCGTATGTGTCCATATAGACAAAATCAATTATCATGCTATGAATGAGTTAAATAAAGCAAGTATAGAGTATAGAGGAAAAACTCTAATAATTAATGAACAAAGCATTTAAAATAAGAATCAATTCAATATATGAGAGTTTCAAAGGATTACGTCGTTTCCCCAACAACAATTGAAGTTTAGTTCACCATAGACATGGTGAAACTAGATGAATAATGGAAAAGAATGAAATAGAAAAATCCTAAAAGTTGAATATAGGAGCTTCCACCTCCAAATCCACCTCCAAGAGAGTGTTTCTGCGCCTCTTCTGTCAAAAGATACCAAGCCTAGGAAATCCAAATCCTTAAATAGAGCACAGAAAAAGTCTAAGCCCACGAGACTGGCGCTCAGCGCCCCAACTTAGGATGCTCAGGAGTGACTACGAAAGCATCTGCGCTCAGTGATAAACAAATTTTTAATCCTCGGCAACGACGCCAAAAACTTGTTAGCACTCGGCAAGTGTACTGAATTGTATCAATTAATAATAAAATTGTAAGACCAAGTATCATTTCCCAAAGGACTCACAGCCTAAATCCTAATCACTAGTTTACAATGTCTTCATTAATGTTAATGCCACTTTCTAATTTACTTTAAACCCGATGTCTCGGTGAAGAAAGCCTAATCCTAATCACTAGTTTACAATGTCTTGTCTCCCTAGCAATTATTCATGCATTACATTCGCACAGAAGCTTAAAGGCAACAAATCCTCCTATTCCTATGTCTAGGTAATATTGCTTCCGGGAGAATTTCCCAAATTCAAGATTTACCTATATGTGTCCATATAGATAACATCAATGATCATGCAATTGAATGAGTTAAACAAAGCATGCATAGAGTGTAGAAGAAAAACCCTAACAATTAATGAAGCAAAGCATATAAAATATAGAACTAATTCAATACATGAGAGTTTCAAAGGATTACAACGGTTCCCGAACAACAATGCAGGATTAGTTCACCATAGACATGGTGAAACTAGATGAAAATAATGAAAAGAATGAAAGATAGAACCCTATAATTTGAAGAAAGGAGCTTTCGCATCCAAAATCCGCCTCCAAGGGGTGAAGAAAGTGTGATTTCGCCTCTTTCTGTCCAAAGATACCAATCCTAGGTCGACTAAACCCTTATATAGTTTATTAAAAATTAAAGAAAATAGGCCCAAGCCCAATTAAATGGCCCTCAACGACATTTTTGGCGTTCAACAGTAAGTGCGGCTCTTCAAGTTCAAGATGACACTAAGCTGCAGTTTTGGCCCTCAGCGGTGACTGCGGTGCTTCAGAATGTCGCTCAGCGGTAAAAGTTCCGCTCAGCGGTGACTGCGACTCTTCTTTTGTACACTTTTACTTCCCTTTCTGAGTCCAGCTCCTTACTACTTCAACTTTTTTCATGTAATTCATCTTAATTCCTGCCAAAACAAGGAAAACCAAGCATAAAACCCATCCAACTCTCTTATTTCCAAAACTTAAGCAAAAACATGATTCCAAGCTAGTTTCTAAGTCATAAAGGTTGTTTTTAATATGAAAATTAAGTATAAAAGTAACGGTTTTTCAACCGTTATCACAACCCCAAACTTAGAACTTTGCTTGTCCTCAAACAAACAAGATGTAACTCAGTCTTCCACCATTCCATATAATGGTTCACCACATTCAAAAACTCTTTCTTTCAAAACAAGTAATTACTCAAATCAGCTCATAAAAAAGAATTCACTTAAGATGCACACATGCTTTGATTCAATTAAGCTCATTGTGGTATTCACATAGTCAGATAGTATCCAACAAATGCTATTCTCATGAATGATCAATTAACTAAGCATAGATGTAATCCTATGCTCATGAAATTATTCCTCACTAGATAAAGTGTCTCACTCAATCACACAAGTGTATATAGAGGTCACTCATTCACTCTACTATCACAATGTCACATGAATCAACTTTGCCTTTCATTTAACCACAATTAAACACACTCACAAGCAAGCATCATCACAAGGACTTTTCTATGGCTTATAATGTGGATGGGCTAAGAAGAAAATTGGTTTTTCTAGATCACAAAATCCTTGAGTTAAGAGAATCATCATTTAAACACAACCATTCTTTCTTATTCCCAACTTTCCTTTGCATTGAGCTTTTTGGAGGGCACTTTGGAGAACTCTTTAGAGAGTGCTTGAGAGCGTGTGGGGAGAGGGAGATCTGAAAGTGGCGGCCAAGACGCACCCTAGGGTATAAAAATGACCTAATGGGCCAAATCCCACTAAGCCTAATTAACAGAAGACCAGTCAACAAAACTGCAGCGTTCACGCTCAACGGTAATTCCCGTTAAGCGGCATACACGACACCAAGTCCCCTTCTTCCTAGCTTGCCCTAGGTGTCCTTTACCAATACCTTTCACTTACTCAATGCATTTAGTCTCTCACATAACTCAAACAATCAATCCCTATAATGCAACTAGAGCAGAATCAAAACAAACAAACAAAGATAAATTCAATCAACTTGGTTGCCTCCCAAGTAGCACTTGTTTAACGTCATGAGCCTGACCCAAAATCCTCCAGCACCCATCAGTAGGTGCAAATCTTACCATCACCCTTCAGTAGGTGTACCTTCTTAATATCCTTCAGTAAATACTCACCAACCTAGCATCCACCAATAGATGCTAAACCCAAATATAACAATGCTCAAGTTTCATATTACATCATCAAAATAAATAAATTCAAAGAAATTAATGTTTTCAAATCACTAGGGTGTCTCCTAGCAAGCGCTCTTTTAACGTCACTAGCTTGACCCAATAAAGCTCAAGTTCCTTCTTCAATGTTGGTGTTCCTCTTGCTTTCATCACACCAACTCATCAATTTCTTTTGGTCCACCTTTTTGACTCTCCTTGAATATGGAGCTTCAATCTATATCACTCCATTCTCTTTGAAATCTTTCACAACCCACAACTTGTTCTTGAATCTTACCGGTGTGCCAAGTTTGAATTGTGCATCCATCAAGTCATCATGAACCTTCCTTCCTTTGTCATCTTTTTCTTCTTCCCTAACCTGTGACAAGAAACAATTTTTACCTTTGATGATCGGCTTTGCAGCTTTCGAGCTAATCACATCCTTACATGCAGCTTTGTGACTAGCCTCCTTCTCTTGAATCTGCGACTCCACTTTGAAGACATTAAAGATCACCTTTTCTTCTCGATCTTGAAGAACTATCAACCCATCATCCACATTGATGATTACCTTTGCCCTTTTCATAAACGGTCTTCCAAGAATAATTGGGATCTTCTCATCTTCCTTCATCTCTATCACCACAAAATCCACCAGGAATTTAAGTTTGTCTATGCAAACCACCACATCTTCCACTACACCATAGGGTTTCTTGGAAGATCCATCCGCCATGAGCAAAGTCACCTTGGTTGGATTGACTTCAAGATCACCAATCCTTTGAAGCATAGATAAGGGCATCAAATTAATGTTTGACCCTAAATCAATTAAGGCTTCCCTTATATTTTCCTTCCCAATGACGCAAGGAATAGTAAAACTTCCTGGATCTTTCACTTTTGGTGGAAGTGGTTTCTCCAAAATAGCTCTGCATTTTCCCTGTTTATCACTAGTTTCCTCCTCTAGATATCTCTTCTTTGCGGGGATTTGCTTCATGTGCTTTGCATAAGCAGGAATTTGTTGCATAGCTTCAGTCAAATGTATCTTAATCTCCAATTGCTTGAAGATCTCTTTAAAATGCTTATATTGTCTCTCTTTATCAAATTTTTCACTCCCCTTAGGATAAGGAAGAACTCTCACTTTTCTCACAATTTTTCACTCCCCTCTTCTTTTCTTTGTCTTTTTTCTCATCCTCACCTTTTCTCTCTTCTTTTTCGTCTCTCTTTTCTAACTTAACTCTCTCTTTTTCATTCACCCTCTCATCACATATACTCACAATAGCTTTACACTCTTCCTTAGGGTTAACTTCAGTATTAGCCCCAAAACTCCTGTCAGGCATATCCTCCAACTTCTTAGCCATTTTGCCAACCTGGATCTCCAGATTTCTAATTGTAGCTTCAGTGCTCTTGTGATTGGAGATAATCACTTGAATAAATTGTTGAAAAGTTTCTTCAAGCTTTGTTGATCTCTCATTTAGCGTAGATACTTGTTGCCATAGTGATGGTTGCTGTTGTGGTCTATTAACTTGTCTTGCTTGTCCAGCTTGTCCATTTTGACCTTGACCCATGCTTGGGTGAGGTTTCCACCCTTGGTTAAAGTTCCCTTAGCGGTATTGGGATTGATTTTGAAATTGATTGGCCATAAAATTGACATCTTCTAAGGCCTCCACTAGAAAAGCACATTGACCATTAATATGGTCACCACCACACAATTCACAGAGTTGTTGTTGAACCTGTGAAACGTTCTTCAACTCCTTTGGCAACTGAGCAAGTGTCTTTGTCAAATTCTCCAATTGTTGAGTTATGATTTTATTTTGTGAAGTAAGGCATCTTGAGATTGCAACTGTAGGACTCCCTTCTGTTGAGGTGGAGCTCCTCTTTCACTATGCATCTCGTTGTCATTAGTAGCCATGTTGTCTATCAATTCAAAAACTTCCTCTAGAGTCTTGCATTTAATATTACCTCCAGCTGAGGCATCTAGCATCAATTTGGTTTGTGAACCAAGACCTCCAAGGAAAAGAATGAATATTGTTGCTTCGTCAAAGCCATGAGTGGGCGTCTTTCTTAATAATTGTATTTATCCCATGCTTGACCTAGCGTCTCCTCCATGCCTTATCTAAACGAAGAAATTTCTTGCTTCCTTTTGTTAATTTTGGATTGTGGGAAGTACTTGTTTAGAAACTTTGAAACCACGGCTTCCCATTCACTAAAGTTGTACTCCGGGAAAGAATTCAAGCATAGCTTAGCATTGCCTCCCAATGAGAAAGGAAACAAACTAAGCTTTATAGCATCATCCAGCACACCATTGATCTTTACAGTGTTGCAAATCTCGTTGAATGTGGTTAGATGCTCATATGGACTTTCATGTGACAGTCCATTAAATTGGTTGCTCTGCACCAATTGTATCAATGCCGGTTTCACCTCCATGTTTGCAGCATTGACCCTCGGCCTAGCAATGCTGTTAAAGTGATCAGGGCCAACAACATTGGTGTAATCCGCCAGAGTACGTCTCCCATTGTTTTCTCCAGCCATCTCTTCAGTACTTTGGTTAGATCTTTGTGGTGAGGGTTGTAAAAGTGTTTCCGGAGAAGGAAATAATTATCTAGATGTTTGAATTCTCCTCCTCCTTTTACTTTCGTCTAATCCTTCAAGAAGAGGTTTCGTTGTTTTCTTGCTCCTAGTCCGAATTGTATCTTGCATACACAAGAAAACAAGACCCTAGAAACAATTCTTAGCACAAAAAGATAGAAAAGATAAAAAAAAAATAAAAAGATAAAACAAAAAGATAGAAAAGATAAAAAGAAAAATAAAAAAATAAAACAAAAAGATAAAAAGATAAAACAAAAAGATAAAAAAATAAAAAGATAAAAAATCATAAATAGTGTCAAAGTTAATCAATAATCACACAAATAGAATAGTTAAACCAGGAGTCCCCGGCAATGGCGCCAAAAACTTGTTAACACTCGGCAAGTGTACTGAATCGTATCAAGTAATAATAAAATGGTAAGACGAAGTATCATTTCCCAAAGAACTCACGACCTAGACAGTTATGTGATTTCTTCATTAAATTAGACTTGTGAACAAAATCATTGTGTTTGAATTTTAGAAAATAAAGATGAATGCAAGTTTTGATCAATTGGATTGAAAGATGCAAAAGCGATTGATGTAGAATATGAATGATTATGTTGGTGGGGTTTCCGACTTATCCTATCCACTCTCATGTATTCAAAAATTCATCTTTCTTCATTAATGTTAATGTCACTTTCTAATTTACCTTAAACCCGATGTCTCGGTGAAGAAAGCCTAATCCTAATCACTAGTTTACAATGTCTTGTCTCCCTAGCAATTATTCATGCATTACATTCGCACAGAGGCTTAAAGGCAACCGATTCGCCTATTCCTATGTCTAGGTAATATTGCTTGCGGGAGAATTTCCCCAGTTCTAGATTTACCTATATGTGTCCATATAGATAACATCAATGATCATGCAATTGAATGAGTTAAACAAAGCATGCATAGAGTGTAGAAGAAAAACCCTAACAATTAATGAAGCAAAGCATATAAAATATAGAACCAATTCAATACATGAGAGTTTCAAAGGATTACATCGGTTCCCCAACAATAATGCAGGGTTAGTTCACCATAGACATGGTGAAACTAGATGAAAATAATGAAAAAAATGAAAGATAGGACCCTAGAATTTGAAGAAAAGAGCTTCCACATCCAAAATCCGCCTCCAAGAGGTGAAGAAAGTGTGATTTCGCCTCTTTTTGTCCAAAGATATCAACCCTAGGTCGACTAAACCCTTATATAGTTTATTAAAAATTAAAGAAAATAGGCCCAAGCCCAATTAAATGGCGCTCAGCGGCACTTTTGGCGCTCGGCGGTAAGTGCGGCTCTTCAAGATGACGCTCAGCTGCAGTTTTGGCCCTGAGCGGTGACTGCGGTGCTTCAGAATGCCGCTCAACGATAAAAGTTCCGCTCAACGGTAAAAGTTCCGCTCAGCGGTGACTGCGGCTCTTCTTTTAACACCTGAAAAATCCCCTGGAAAAAGTTGCGTTGGTAAATAATTACTGGCGGTTTTTTTTCAAAATCGCTGAGAATGGCAAGGGTTTTGCAAAAACCACCGGTAGAGGTTTCGTAAAAACCGTCGAGAATGGCAGGGATTTTCCAAAAACCGCCCGGAATGGCAGAGTTTTCAAAAACCGCCGGAAATGCATGTCAAATTGTTTTTTTTATATATTATTTAGTTTATTATGATAAAAAAAGCTATAATAAAGAAAAACACGTAATAAAAATAGTAACATTTTTCAAATATACATTAAAGAGAAACATGTTCACCGAATGAAAAATGTTCATTAAAGAGAAACATGTTCACCGAATGAAAATGTTCATCTAGAAGCTTATGCACTTCTTCCATGTTCTGAATAGAGCTTTCTAAGCAGCTTTCCTGAGTCAGAGTTTTCCTGAGTAAGAGAGCACCGAAGTAGTCAAATAGTAAAAAACAAAAACTCAAAGGGCACGGTGACTAACAGAGAGCGAAGAAATATTTGATCCTTTAACCATTTTATTTTTCAACTTTGGACACTGATTATAGAAATATAAATTATAAATTTAATATCAGACTGAATTTAACCTAATAAATCAAAACTAAAATGAACAAATGATATATAAGATAATAGATGTTATACGTACTATGTAAGTGTATGAACCAGCAACTACAATTGGAAGTCGAGTTCCAAACAAGGATTGAAGAAATGTGCTTATTCT